AGCGAGCGAGAGAGAGAGAGAGAGAGAAAGAGAGAGAGAGAGAAAGAGAGAGAGAAAGAGACAGAGAGAGAGACAGAGAGAGACAGAGAGAGAGAGAGAGGGGGGGCTGAGGGGATTGGAGAGGGGGAGGGGAGGGGGAGTTATGATGGAAGAGGATAAGATTAGGTGCAAGGCCGATAGAGTAGAGGACACATAATATAAGCGGTGCTATTTGTATCGGTAGCGGCTTTGGTCATCAAAGATCGAACGACAGAGCGTATGACCAGCGGTCTGACCAGCAGCTGAGCCTGCCTGCCTGCCTGCAAACTCCCTAGGAGAAGGAGCAGACAGTCGCTGGGAGCATCCTACTGTCACGGGGCGTGCTGCGAGTGCGGCTCACGGCACAACGTGTGTTGTATTGATCTAGCGAGTTCGCCGCCGCTACAACAGCGCGTCAAGGCTAGCGAGCGCGAGAAAAACGGACTGACGGACACACCGACGCAGAAGGGAAGAGACATTATCATGTTTGTCCTGAATTCTTTGGGCATCACAGCCTTCCAAGTAGTCCTCGTGTGGGTCTGAAAACCCCAAAGTGTGTGGAGAGCGTCCAGAAACCCCCCCAGTGAGAACGGATTGAATTGCGTGGTTGTGATGTCTTCAACCCCGTGGCTGTGCGAATACATTCAGTGATTTTTTTTTTCATAAGGGCCTCAAAAAGAAGGAGTGTTCTGAAAGTTGGAACGAATAAATTCAAAGAGGAGGATCAGGGTTATTAATAAGACAATCTACAAGAAAAATTGTGTGTACAAGTGATCAGGGTTGTTAACTAGCCAGCGTCTTGCCAGACCGTGTGAGCAAAGTGGGTTCATAGAATTTTTATCGTCACAACTTCCCATCTTGGAGAAGCCGATTCCGTGGCGAGGAAGGGGCAAAATTATTGATTGCTCTTAGGTTTTGGTGCTTCTTGGGCGACCGTCGTGAGCGCTGGGTCTAGCCGAAGGAGAGCATCGCTGGAACCCCGACGAATGCATAATAAATTTGTTACAAACCTGTTGTTACGACAGCACTGCTTGGGAGCGTTCAGCGTCTTGGAGGAACAATACCGTTGTCTGTTTGTCTTTTGTTCTATTGATTTTGTGTTGCCTCTTGTTTCTGACCACGGTCTGTGACATTGGGGCTCTGTGGGGGTCTGCTGTTATCGGTTCCGCTGCCAAGTGATTTCACATTACTGGTGCCGTGCTCGTGGCTGTGTTTGTGCCGATGTGACGGACAGCGCCATCTCAGTTTCCACAACGTCTTCTTAGTTTCTCTTGTAACAGTTTATTCATGAGGGAATGATAAAGAATGAGCTAGTGTAATATTTCTTCCTGACAGAGTGGTATTCTGTTCGTATTTTGTTCCCACTGTGTTTCTTCTTTACGGCGAAGTTGCCGAAGAGACCTCTCTTACTACACTATTGTTTCTCGTGGCTTCTCTTTAAATTTTAGCATCTCAGTGATGTATTTTGTTTAGAAGGGTTTCGAATGTAGTTATTGTCCTTTCGTTCATGAATTTATATCCAAACTTTCTCTGTTTTCTTCAGCCGAGACTGTTTGCTTTTTGTTAAAAGTCTCGCGTCGGAAGAAGACGTGGTAAGGTTAAGTTCTATTTCATAGATGGTGTGTTCTTCACCAGCTGTAGAAACGAAAGCAGGAACCCAGTTTTGAACAAAGCTTGAGTACCTCGTATCTCACCACAATCATAATTATTGTTTCAGCCCATAACTAGGGGAGGCTTGGCGAGCAATCTGTTACTCACTACAGTAGATATCCCCCGTGGTAAAAGTATATCGTTGTAATAGCTGTAGGTGTGGACAACGAGGAGAGCAAGTATTGATTTTCACGTCAGTAGCAACTAGTGGCTGGCCACTCGTCGGGTGCGACTAATGTGAGGTCGTTCCGAGTAATTTTCACTCCACCGCACGAAATCGAGAATGCACAGTATATTAATTTGTGTTTGCAAAATATGAAGTCTTGCTAATGTAACTGGTTTGTGACAACAAACACTTGCCCTCAGTACAAGCCAGGTTTTGTTTGGCTTCCCAGTGCAGAGCTAGCTTGAAGCTCGAATGCAGCCCGTGCTGTGGTTTTTCTCTTCCTCGTGATACTGTCCCCCCTCTGCTATTGATCGAGAGGTAAGAGCCCAGGCTCGAATCAACACAATGATGAAGATGATCGTGAAAGGCGGGTTGCACCCTATCCCAGGCCTGCCCCGACTACGACACGAAATACCGTCTGTCGGTGGAGTCATACTGACCAAGGTGAACTATGTACACTTGTACACTTGTACCTATATTTGAAACAAGCAAACCGGTGCCTGTTTAACACTTCTCTTTGAACAACATGATGTTTGCATGTGTGTCTGTGTGTGTGTTGTGTGTGTGTGTGTGTGTGTGTGTGTGTGTGTGTGTGTGTGTGTGTGTGTGTGTGTGTTTGCTGAATACTATACACATGTAGACACTATCTATTTGAAACAAGCGACCTGGTGCTTGTTTTACACTTCTCTTTGAACAGCATGATGGTGTCAGCGGTGGTCTTAGTTTTGTCTTTGTCTTTTTGTTTTATCATGTTGATATGGATGGAAAAGCCAGATGACTTGCCAACTGTAGCGTTCACTGTTACTTGTCCTTTCAATAGTACAGTGGTGAGTGAGTGATGGGTGCACGGGTGTAATGTTTTTTCTGCTTCCATTTTTGTGTGTAATTTACTGTTGTCAAATTTATGGTACTATAGATATTAATGTATATTCAAGGCAAAGTATGAGTTGACTCCTTAAATGTGGTCTATGTCAATTAGCTTAAATAAGAAGGATAATAATAGGTATAATAATA